CTGTTAGGGATAACTTTGTGTTAACTGAAAAAAGTTAACTTCTCTTTCATTGCAGCTCCACTCTTATTTTTGATGTACTCATTTGTTTAATAAATAATTTCAATTATTTTGCCACACCTCTGTATTGGCAGTTAGGAGCATTTGTGTTTTTGATTAAACAGTGATATGATTACGCTTAATTGGGGAAATATTTCCTGGGGTGCAATTCCCCAGGTGGCATTGTTGGTCTCCTTTCTTCCAGTAACCCCTCTCCCCCCGTCCTCAGTTGCTACAACTGTATGATGTATATCATTATGTTATATACAAAGAGAAACAGGAATTTATTAAATTACATAGTGAAGCTTAATCTAATTGTGTTTCATCTCAGGTCTTCCTGCTTTAGTCTGTGTGAGAAAATGTCAGAGATATACAGTTAACAAACAGTCAGGTGAATAAACAACACTGAGACACTTGAGTACAGTTAACGTGCGGCACGGGTGAAACTCAGAGAGAGTCACACACAGAGCGAGGCACAGCTCTTTATTTATAGGTTACATTGTCAATATGTAAATATGGTCACATTTCCTGTTATGCAGGTCCTGATGCTTTCTGGTGTGTAAGCTGTGTGTGTGTGTGTGTGTGTGTGTGTGTATGTCTAGAAGTTCGTGTGTGTGCTAGTAATGTCACAGGGTGAGCTTCCTGTTTCTGCAGAGTTGGTACATTGTGTCTGGTGAAATGTGAACATAAGCGGAACATAACATTTGAAGCATAATCAAATAAAACAGTAAAAACTCTATAACAGAAAAATATGAGTAAAACATTACCAAGCCAGATTATATTTGGAATATTTTTAAAACAGAGTACATTATGGTGAAATCTGCTTTCAATTTGACATTTACATTTACCCTTTTAAGACACAGTTTAGCTATTGTCATTTGTAGAGCACTTAAATGTGTAATATTGTTTTATAGTTGTACTGATAAGCATTAACCACCAACAGCTTTATTAATGTGGATAAACTGGACGGTTCCAGGGAAACTAAGATAAGATAAGAGAACCTTTATTAGTCCCATGCGTGGGAAATTTGTTTTGTTACAGCAGTGGACAGTGCAAAGTTGCATTGAAAAATTAGAAGAAAAAAAACACTGGAATAATATATCCATAAGATATTGTACACAATAGAATAGAATAAAATAAAATAAAAATAAAATACTATATACAATTGAATAAAATAGAATACAAATGCTATATACAATATGAGTATAATACAACGACGCCAGAAAAAGTATTGCACTTAGTGTTATTGCTATTGCACATGTGTGGATGTGTGTGTTTGATCAGTTGAAGTCTTTGTTGTGGAGTCTGACAGCAGTAGGGAGGAAAGACCTGCGAAATCTCTCCATCCCACACCGTGGGTCAAACAGGATATCCTGATATGAGGCTGACAGAATTACAATACGTAGCAAACAACTTTGATATTGCTATGGTGACCATTGCCATATATAGTATTTCTGTTACCTCACTGGTCTTAAATGTCAACATTGGCTGTTTTTCATTTTACTAATGAGTCCACTCTGTTCCCTCACTTTCGTCTCTTCCTCACGTTGAGATTCGCTCGGAGAGGATTGAAGAAAGAACTTTGATGATGGCTGGCTATAGCTCAGGAGATAGAGCAATGCATCTAATGATCAGAATGTTGTTGGTTCAATCCCTGGCTGCTTCAGTTGGCATGCAAAATATACTTGAGCAAGATACAAACCCTCTCCATCATCCATCAGAGTATGAATGTGTGCAGAAAAGTGCTAAACAAGAATCAGTCTATTTACCATGAAAATATCAAAGTAGAAAGCGATGTCAGTTCCGACAGAGCCCAGAACCCAAATCCAGGATAAAGAGGTTCAGTGAATGTGGTGTTGAAGGTGTGGAGGTGGATCAGAGTGTCAGAGGAGACTCTAGCTTTGTCCAAATTCATGGGCAGCATCCTCCTGAGGACGCATTTGTAGACCGATTACATCACAGCGACGCGCCGAAAGCTGTCCAAATTCGTAGACTCCTCCGAATGCAGCCGACAAATGTGTCCTCCATTTGAAGGATGGGTCGGGTGTGTCCTTCGTGGCATACCATATCCCAGAATTCATAGCGCGGCCCAGCCAAACTCCAGTTTCCAATAATGGCGGCCGCTACTAAGTTTTAAAATTACTCATACTAATCTTTCTGGGTCACAAAATAAACTTTTAAGATATTTTCAGGCGAGAATGTAGCTGTGTAAACATCAAATATCTGCTCGGTTTATCAAGACATCGCATATTTGCAAAAGTGCTTCGACATTTTCTGAGACGTCTGTTACCCACCAGCTCCATAGCTAGCCAGGAGCTCGAGGGTCACTGAAGCTGCCAAGAACGGCACAACTCCCGGCACATCATTTTCAGATCACCGTGGACTTTTGCTACTCAGGTTAAATATAATATATAAGTCACTTAGACAACCTAAAAATGTTATTGTTTGTCTTTTTTTCAGTGTTTTGTTTGTTCGTGAGTAAATCGGTTTGGCTGAGATTAAAGTTATTAGATTAGATTAGATAAAAAAAGAAAAAAACTTTATTAATCCCCCGGGTGGGTTCCTCCTCGGTTTTTACAAAGCTGAATAAACGTCAAACAGAAAACTGATTAAACAGAAGTGTGAGATGGTTGAGAATTTACTCCAGTGTCCTGTTATATTTTAGACAGCAAGGATCAGACGGCCGAGTTTATTAAACTCCACCGAGACAACGTTGACGCTAATCTGAAGGCTAGACCGTCCAATTTCCCCAGCCGTTTACTTCCGGCCTACCCGAACTTCTGAGGACCCGGCCCACGTAGACCGCGAAGGCCGGGTCCTCAGGAGGATGCAGCCCATGAATCTGGACACAGCTTCTGAAGAAGGACAGAGTGCCAGCAGAACAGTCCACATACACTGCTACTCTTTTAGAGACAGAGGAGGAGGAGACACACATTTTTATGCTTCTGTACCAGACAGAATGAGCATCATTAGAGCATCTGAGACTCCAGGACTGATCATTTAAACCAAACACACACTCATCACTCTTTCCTTTACTTTCAATTCCTCTGTAACTCACTGATATCCAAACCGTTCTTCTCCACTCAACCTCCCATTAACAGCGACCTTCAAGCTCATCTTTACACAGCAGCTGAGGATACCAGTCAAATCTGTCTGGATGATCAGGATATAATGGAATCGATAAAACACGTGTCACCTTCCTGTTGTTGTCAGACAGTTTGAGGTTTCTGTTCACTGTGTTTGTGTCGATTGTGAGTTGACAGGAATCTGATGGAGAGAACAAACACAGTCCAGCTGCAGTTATTGATCCATCATCTGTTCATTGATTGACACTTTGATGATGACTCCTGACATCAGACATGTGAATGAGTGATGTGACAGTTTGAAGATGGTTGAATGTGTGCTGCTTTCTTTTCATGAATCACATTAAAAACACACTTACACTTCCTCAGACCTGGTGTCAACCATCGGACTCCAGCAGGCTCCACCCTGAAAGGAGGAGGGGGTCAGACCAGCACATTCTTTTGACAAGGACACATCAACGTAACACTGAAATCACATGAAATGTTACTTTTTTCACTTTTAAAAGTCTTAATCCACAAGGAGACTTATTTATCCCAAATTCCAAAAAAAAAGTTGGGACCAGCAGAACAATCTGCATATAGTGCATAAAATGTAATGCAGTGATTTGCAAACCTCACAAACTTATATGTCTTATTACAATAGAACAAAGAAAACATTCACTGTTCACACTGGGAGTCTACCATTTAAAAAACAAAATGGCATTTTTTTTGGAAGTGACATCTCAAAAGAGTTGTGATAGGGTCATGTTTGTCATTGTGTAGCACCCCCTCTTCTTTTAACAACAGGCCTCAGATCCACAAACCACCTCAACTGGCTCCTTTGGATATGGAAAAGTAGCAGCTCTACTATTATTCTCTCTTTAATGACCAAATTCCTAACCCCAACTCTAAAAGAGAGCCCAGCCAGAAACTCATTTCTGACGCTTGTATCCAAGACACCAGTCTGTAGGTGAGCGTACGAACATAGACTGACCAGTAAATCTACAGCTTTGCTTTTATGCCCAACTTTCTCTTCATCACACCAGATTGATTAGGGCAGACCAATCTGTCAGTCTTATTTTAACTCCCCCTACCCTAACTTTGAAACAAGACCCAAAGATTCTTAAACTTCTCCGCTTAGAAGTGCTGATTCTCACTCACACCATTTTACGCTTGTTTAAAGACTAAGTAGCTCCAGTGCAAGCTGAAGTTCACTAACCGGTGAAGCCAAAAGAAAAAAACTCAATTGGTGACAAAGGATAGCTTGGTGACAAAGGATAGCCCTGGTTGAGTCCAACGCCCACCAGAAATTATTCCAACTGACTTTAAATATAAACCAAGTTCTCGCTATGGTTGCCAAGGGCTACATGGCCTGTAACAATGGACCAGACACCATACTCATGAATTACACCCCCCCCCCACAAGACACCCCTAAGGACCCTATCACAAAACACATGAAGTTGGTTGGGCACCCTCGAATATCCTTGAGAGGATAAAAAGTTGGTTAAGTGTTTCACAATAAGGACTCTTCCTGAATCCAATGTTCAACTAACAGATGGACTCTCCTCTTTAGTACCCTGGCATAAACAATACTGGGAGGCTGAGGAGTGTGATTGTAAAAGATACAGACATGTTTTTAAAATATATAATAATATATTTAGAGCTACTTTTTATTAATGTCACAGTGTGGTGCAATATAACAGGATATACTAACACACACACACACACACAAATAGTGAAAGGCAGAAAAAAAATTTTTTAATCACAAAGCTGATTATTTTAAGTAACTTTCTGAATAAAAGAGCATCTTGTTTAAAGAGTCTACCTCTTTGATGTTTGTATATTCAGGCTGCAGCAATTTATTTTTTTGATACTGAAGGTAAAAACACCTGTCCTCCCGCATCAGGCATTCCTTCTGTACCTGAGTGTTTCCAGTCTCCAGAGTGGATCCTTTAGTCCAGCTGAAAGCAGCTTCATTCCTGACTCTCCTGGATGATTGTAGCTCAGGTCAAGCTCTCTCAGATGGGAAGGGTTGGAGCTCAGGGCTGAAGCCAGAGAAATGCAGCCTCTCTGTGCAATAAGACAGCCTGAAAGACTACAGACACATAATATAATTAATTCAAGGTTTTAAATTAAAACAGAATGCAATGATTTACAAAACTCATGAAACTATACTTTTTAAAAATAGAACTCAGAAATATATTAAATGTTTCAAAAGAGACATTTTACTATTTCATGAAAAATATTAGCTCATTTTGAAATTAAAGACAGCAAGACAGCTCAAAAAAGTTGGAACAAGGGCAACAAAAGGTTGTAAAAGTAAGTGGCAGAGGTGTGGACTCGAGTCACATGACTTGGACTCGAGTCAGACTCGAGTCATTAATTTTATGACTTTAGACTTGACTTGAAAGAATGTT